GAGCGCCACATTTCAGGAAAGATGTGGCCAAAATGGAGAAAGTCCAGAGAGGAGCAACAAAAATTATTCACAGTCTAGAAAACATGCCCTACAAGGGAAGATTGAAAAAGTTGGGGTTGTTTAATCTGGAGAAGAAAAGACTGAAAGGGGACATAACTTTTTATGTACTTGAAAACAGTTACAAGGAGGAGGAAAAAAATTGTTCTCTTTATCCTCTGAAGATAGGACAAGAAGCAATGGGCTTAAATTCAGCAAGGGCAGTTTAGGTTGGACATTAGGAAAAACTTCCAAGCTGTCAGAGTGGTTAAGCACAGGAATAAATTGTCTAGGGAGGTTGTGGAATCTCCACCATTGGAGATTTTTAAGAGCAGGTTAGACAAATACCTATCAGGGTTGGTCTAGATAATGGTCTCCTGCCATAAGTGCAGGGGACTGGACTAAATGACCTCTCAAGGTCTTTTCCAGTCCTATGATTCTATGATGATGAAGGGCAGGGTAGGGCAGGAACATATTGATTTGCATTTTAGTAAACAACTTGTAACCTATTTCACCCATAACCATGCCTTCATCCTCACAGCTGGAAGAAGCTTTATGTAGAGGTAACCCTCAGGAAAAAAAGCATTCAAAGGGTGACTGGACTATAAAAGTGAGTGGCAGAAACATCCCAGGAACCTTCTCTTTCTCTCGCTCTTGGTTGTTCTTTCACCCGAGAAGACAAAGGAAGCAATCTTTGGATTTTGGGAGGGCTCTGACCTGAGAATTTGGTCAGCCCTGTTGCTGGGAACATTTACCTTGAACCAAATCTAGTTTGTTTAGTTACCAGGAAGCATTTTCATCTTTATTTCTCTTGTAACCATTTCTGATTTTAATACTTATACTCACTTAAAACCTATCCCTTTATAGTTAAATACATTTGTTTAATTCTTTAATCAAAACTAATCCAGTGTTGTGTTTAAACTGAATTGTTTGGTAACTCCAATTAAAGTAGCAAACTGTTGAATACTGACCCGTCACAGGGGCAATGGACCTCTAATATCTGGACTGTCCAGGAGAGGGCTGGACAATGCAAAACACACATTTGGAGAGGAAATCTGTGATTGGGAGTGTGTTGGGGCCACTCTGCTAGTGTAGGGTTACCATATTTAAAAAATAAAAAAAGAGGACACTCCATGGGGCCCTGGCCCTGGCCCTGGCCCTGCCCCTT